CTTTCTCCCTCTCCCCTTCTGTGCCCAGTCTCTGTGGGACTGGCGGATGTGCCTTTCCCGTTTTCGCGGTCCGTCCTGACGCAGTTGCCCTGTCTGTACACCCCAGTAACCCGGATTGCGTTCCCACTTGGCCTCACACAGCCCAAGACTCGGGGATTGGAGGGAAATAGAGCTGTTTTCTTCTGGGCCCGCAGAACTAAGGGTTGCAGAGGTTGGCATCTCTCAGAAACAGGAGCTGACCCGTACAGGTAAAGTCGTGATCCTGCCTTGCCTCAGCCCTTGCCATTTAAAGCGGTGTCTTTAGCGCTCACCTGTAATTCTCAAACCAAATTGTAATTGACATTCTCAAAAATTCTCGTCTTGGCCGGATAACGTATTACCAACCGAGATTGCAAGTTGAGTGAGGGTCTTTTTTTCCCTTTAGGGAGTTAGATCTCCGAGAAAACAGGTTTGAAAACTGAGGCCCCCGATGGTGTGATGGGCCAGAGTGGGATCCGAAAGGCCTCAAAGAGGAATGCATTTTCTGAGTCTTGGAGGTATTTTATTAGAAGTGTGCAAGATGGGGAAAAATGTTCTCTGCAGAAGTGGGAAGTAGCAGAGATAAAGAACCTCAGTGGTTTCTGGAAACTGCAGGTAAGGCAGGGAGGGGGATGAGGGAGTATTTAGAGAGGTGGCCAATTCAGTTCATGGAGGCACTGTACCGAACAGTCACAGATGGAATCCAGTTGAAGGTGTGAACTCATTGTTGGAACTAAACGTGGATGGAGAATAGAATTTCCCAGATAAGGGCAAAATTCTGCATGTGCTCAAATAGATGGGTGGATGAGGACTATCTTCTACAACAGGTGGATTTTTTTAAAGGCTGCAACTCTTTTCCCACATTTTTAGTGGTTGAGGTGTTGCAGACATTTTGAATATAAGTTTTCAGGGGTAGGAGTTAACTTGTAACCTAAACTGATGGTGTTTAGAGTTTGATAGAAATTATGCTATATTACATACAGTTTAGGACAGAGCGTAGATTGTGAAGTAGAAATATAACAAGATGTAAAAGAAACATTAATGAGAAAAAGCTGTTGCAATTGTGGAGTTCTGTGAAACCAGAGATCACCTTTAAGGAGAAGTTTTCAGAGAATTGTACATTAATTATCTCTCTTTTTTTTCCTACACATGGAATTTTTCAGACCTTTTATCAGGAAACAGATGACCCTGGTCTATCAATTCCTCAAGCCTTTCATAATAATAAATAGAGCTGATCCGTTATACAACTAGGTTACCAATGACACTAGTGGATTTTGCAGTATTCCTGCCTATGATATTTTGGTAATAGTAAAGAGAGAGAGTGGTTGGAAATGTCGAACTGTGACAAAAGTTGCAGAGTTGGTGCTATAAGAAGCATTTTTAAAATTCTTTAGTCATTGTAAATCCTAACATATGAGGCAGGTGCTTATTATAATTTTATATTTTGTGAACATCAAAGGAACTATACTTCCTATTTCTCTTCCTGATCCTTTTTGTGTGTACTGCTCATATTCTTCAGGATTCTGTGAGATAGCTTTCATTTTATCCTTGGATATCTATCTAGTGATTTTTTTTAAAAAAATTTTTTTCTAACCTAGCCTGCATCTTTAGGTGTTGAAAACTCAGGCCATAGCAGAAAAAGAACTCAGGCTTTGATTAATTTGGAGCTTTATAGTAGGGGCAGTTTTTCTCTTATTATGATACACAATTTAAGTTTTACTGCACTTAATTCCACTTACTAGGGCTGGGGATTTAGCTCAGTGGTTCCTCCATCTGCCTTGCAAGCACAGGGACCTGAGTTCGATCCCTAGTACCAAAAGAATGAAATTAAAAAAATTTCCACTTACTGTAATTGTGTTCTTAAAAAGCAGATCTGCAGGAATTATTGCAGAGTCCACTAGAGTCATGGATAACTTGGGTGTATGACATAACAGCCTTGCTTAACTACTACTTGAAAGATTTGAGAGTTTACTAACCTGTTTCCTGCTGGAAGCAGGTCTGAAAAATGTATGTACTGGGGAAAATGGGAAGGTGGTTAAATCCAATTTAAAGTTACACTTGAGAGTGTACAACATTTCTTTCATAGTAATTTCATAGTACTGTGTTATAAGTAGAAGGATTGATGTTTTTCACCCATTACCTGATACATTTAGAGCATTTTACAGGGTGCTTAAAAATGTTCCAAGCATGGTGATAAGCTAGAGAATTAAAAATGAAGACAGAAGAAGAATCCTCTGCTTTTCAAGGCCTCATGGTATAGTAAGAGATAGATTTGTAAACCACTAGGCAGCACAAGTTGTAGAAGTAGCTGTGTTGTTAATATCCACATATGTTCAGGGAAAACTAACTGGGGATATATCATGATAATACAGGGGTAGTAATCACTAAAAGCTTCTAAGATACATTCCTAAAAAAATAATAAGTAGGTGGTACCTTTTGGAGCTTTTTTCATGTAATTTTTCCAGCCAGGTGCACATGTCTAAAAAAATGCCTTCCAACTTAGGTGGACATCTTGAAAAGTTTAATTCTGATAAGAGTCATGTTTACTATATTGCTTTAAAAATGAAGCCCTTATGACAGATGGATTGATTAAAGGGTAATGCTGCCATTAAAAAAAGAACTAAATAATAAAGAAGTTATTAAAAACTGTTTACTGCCTTCTTATGAGTATCTGCTTCTTTTTTTTTTTTTTTAAAGCAGTGGCCAAGTTTATTTGAGAAAGTAAAAGTAAAGAGTGTGGGGAAAACTGGTTCTGTACAGCAAGTTTGGGCTGAGTTAAAAGAAGAAAAAGTAAGATAAAGAACACCCTAGAGAAAGCAAAGTAGGCTGTTGTGAGGAAAATCCAGGATAGTAAATTCTTGATCCAGATGTTAAACAGTGCTTCAGTGCTGCTTTTTTTTTTTTTTTTTAACTTGGCAGTGGACTTCATGAAATAAATGTATCATGTTGTTTGTAATATTGCAATGTAATTTGATTGGTCTGGGTCTTACCAGAGTCTTGTTAAATTACATTGGTTGCAGTGGGGCGAATTGGATAAACTGGCTTCATAAATGTTGAAAAAAACTTTCAAAGAAATAGATGCATTGAACTTGTATAAATAGAATTATATAAAAAGAAGAAAAGGAAATAATAGGCACAGTATTCTGGAAAAGTCATAAGTTGTGATTGAAAAATAGGTGTATGTTTGTTTTTTAAATTACAGTAGAAGATACATTGCCATTGATCCCCAGATTATTCCCCCTCACTGAACACACTCATCCTTGTCACTTTTGGAAGCAATTCTGGAAGACCTCTTTTGTGTCCATCGTTATGCTTTTATAGTTGCCTTGATGTCCTGAATCAGTTTAAAACATTGACTTTTTGTGGTTATTTTGAATTGGAGAAGAGCCAAAAGTCACACGGTGTCAGATCCATCGAATAAGGTAGATGAGAACACACTGGTTTTTATGAACTTGCTTTTCTGATGGATAACACTCAGCAGGAGCCTTTCTGATCATACTTCATAAAAACTTAGGAAAGAAGACTTGCAGAACTGCTTTAGAAAGTGGCAATAATGGAAAGATGAGTGTGTTTGAAGCGAGGTGGATACTTTGAAGTAGATTAGTGGCCATGTGTCTTTTTTTGAACATTCACCATATATTTTGATCACCTATTATATGAATGGCTTGGGAAACCACATAATCAAATGTGGTTTCTTGTCTATATCCTGTCTTCTCTTTTGAATGGTGAATTCACCGACACTTGTAGTGTTTTAATAGATTAAGGAAAGAAGACCATATGTGTGTGGGCAGGTAGCAAGTATGTCCTTACCGTGATTAATCCAGTTCTGTCAGCTTAAAGTTCAGAGAAAAATAGTGCACTTCTATATTTACTGTGATGCAGAAATTTAATTTTATTAGCTTTATGTTATAGAAAACTAGGCAGATGTTTATGACAAATTTCTAATAAATTTAGAGTATTTGAAGGTTTGAGGGAGAAATATGGAACTTTAAATGTGTAAGATTTTGCTGCATATTGATATCCTAAAGCTTGCAGAGCAAGTCAAATCAAATGAAATTGTCAACAAATTATCTTCAATTTAGGAATGAAATCAGTAGAAGTATGGTCTCGTAAAACCTCATTAATTCAGCAGAGGTATTTTTGGTAAACATTGAGTTCTCAGATGGAAGAACTCTTGGAGGCAGAAATCTTCTGTACTACTTGATTTTTCACCCTAAAATTTATGGATATATTTCTGTCAGAATCGACTCTTCTGGTTAGGGAGATGCACTCATGTTAACGGATGTTACCTCAAATCCCCTTCCTCACACCTCCAGTTGCCCCTTTAAAAACTTTTTTTGGCCAGGTGTGGTGGCGCACACCTGTAATCCCAGCATTCAGGAGGCTGAGGCAGGAGGACCGCAGTCAGTTTGACACCAGCCTGGGCTACATAGTGAGTTCTAGGTCAGTCTCAACTACGTACTTAGACCCTGTCTCAAAAGACCACATCCCCCCAAAAAAAACTTTGGGTGATAAAATGTGCACGATATAAAATTTAATATTTTAACTTTTTAAGTGTACAGCTCTATGGTGTTAAATGTATACATACACGCAACTATCACCACCGTTCATCTGCAGAACCTTTTGCCTATTTTTAACTTTCTAGTGGAACTGGTGGCCATTCTTTGATTTAACTGTTGACTAATAGGTTGTTTATTTCATTATTAATATTTTAATAAATGCTTCTTAAATGCCCACTCTGTGCCAAAAACTGGAGATGCAAAAATGAAATAGCTTCATGTATTACAAAGAGCCTTATGCTGGTAACGAGGAATCTTGGTCTCTGCTGCTAAAGGGTCCTGGAACCTTGATCTCTAAAAGTCTGTAATGCTGAGATATCTCGGCACAAAACGCTTGAAGCCCTCACTGTGTAGGACGTTCTGTAATCCCGATCCCACTTGCTCTTCAGCGTTAAACTACAAAGATGTCCCTGTATGACGACCTGGGAGTGGAAACCAGCGACTCAAAAACGGAAGGCTGGTCCAAGAACTTTAAGCTTCTGCAGTCTCAGCTTCAGGTGAAGAAGGCAGCTCTCACTCAGGCGAAGGTAAGACAAGTCTGCAGGGCAAGTTCCCTGTTAGGCTTACAAACAGATTGATTTTAGCTCGCCCTTCTGCCTTTTTATCAGATGAATAATAGGAGACATTCATATGGGGGAAAGAATAAAAAAGTGTAAAATCACTTTTCCTAATTCGTGGGAATAGAAATCTTTTATGGAATGAAAAGTAGTATTCTCCACTTCCAACAATGACACTGGAAAGTTTGGGGAAAAAACTTCTAAATGTCTTAGATGGACTGAGTTGGTTATCAGTGTGTTAGTCTAGGTAGGACTTGCTTTTGTTCTTGTTGTATACGTGTTGGGCATTGAGAACATCTTTGGAATCATTCATGTAAACATTAAAAACAGTTGTTAACTAGGAGTATAGGTCAACGGTAAAGCTTTTGCCTAGCATCCACAACAAAATAATTGTTGAGTAGATATTATTGGTCCTTAAGGGATGAAAAGATCTTACTTTTTGTATGGCTGAAGCAGACAAATACTGTATTTAAACAGATACACAGTGTTCAGTGTATTCATCTCATGCAAGCAGTTTATATTAAAAGGCTCCTTGGTGGAGGAGACAATAATGAGGAAAGGTTGAGAAAACTGCTTGGAAGATAACTGAAACATTTACTGATAAAATGACCTACTGGGATTTATTTCAAAATAATCCAGTCTTGGCTGAGGAGGTAGGGCTGTGCAGGAAACAAAATTGTCATTAAGTTGGTAATTATTGAAATTAGGTGGTAGAGACTTAAAAATTTATTAATCTGTCCTCTTTAATGTTTTGTTTGAAATTTGCTATTAAAGTTCTTTTCCCCATTACTATATCAGTAGATACCTTGAAGTGCTACATTTAATTGTTCAGTATTATAGAATGTCTTCATTGGATTAGGATACCCACAGTTAAAGCATCACTTTCTTAAAATTTGTGGCGGGGGGGTCTTCTGCCTATGGGGGTTTTATTTTTGTGGGTGTCTTTTTCAAATTATTACCAGATTGAAGAAGACAGGGATTCACTCTGTAGTTCAGGCTTATTTTGAACTCAGTGTAGTCCAGGCTGGCCTCAAGCTTTCAGCAATCCTCCTACCTCAGCCTTACACATAAATTTAAATAAAAGCGGCCAATCAGACAAATGGGTAGTATATGATTATAGCAGTGGTTGGATTAGAAGGCCGTAGTCTTTTAAGATTATGGTTTTATCATATGTTAAAGGTTTATTACAGAGAACGGAAAAAAATCTTTGTTGTCTGTAGGAATTTCAGTTTGAAATTTGAGCACACTTTTATTCTTTTGATAATTTAGAGCCAAAGGACAAAACAAAGTACTGTCCTTGCTCCAGTTATTGACTTAAAGCGAGGTGGCTCTGCAGACGACCGGCAGATTGTGGACACACCACCACATGTCGCAGCTGGCCTGAAGGTAAGCCCCATACCTGCCTTTGACCTTGGTAACATTTTCCTGCGTTTTGTACAGTTTATTTTCCTTGCATGTCCTCCTTAACAGGTTCTGCCCTTAGTAGGCCTTTTGAAATTGGTCGTTTTTTATAGAAAAATTGGAAACTAGTGCCATGTAAAACTTTTCAGTCCTACTCTCAAAAAGTTAAAACTTTAAATTTGGAATAGCTTTGTGTTGTATGAGACCTCTACTTTCTGTTCACTAACTTCCTTTCCTCACTTAATATATTGTAACTGTCCATCTATGTCAAAAAATAGGGGATTGTATAATTTTAATGGAACCACTATTGTATGCATGTACTATATTAAATTTCTGTCAGATAATTTATGTGCTTACTGTTTTACTGTGGATTAAAATAAAGGGCTAAAATTTTTCTCCCACTCTAAAAGCTTTTATCATCCCAGTGACTTTTTGTAAGTTTAAAACAAAGAAACAGGCATGGTGAAATCTCCGTCAGCTGGGTTAATGAAGATGAGGATGTGATCTGTAAAAGGGTAACTTAAAAGGTCATACTTAAAATTAGACATTTTGAGGTACAAATGAATATAAACTGTATTTAAAATTATACCAACTCTGTGCTTCTGCAGATGGCATTTGGAGGGGGCACCAGGGATCGAACTCGGGTCCTTGTGCTTGCAAGGCAGGTGGCAAAAACCACTGAGCTAAATCCCTAGCTACTGATAGCATTTAAATGCCATGTGGAAAAAATCAGCACGCATTGTGACAGTTGACTAAGGAATTAGAAGCAGATAATGCTGTTATTGTTGTGTTTCTTGGCATGGTCCTCTTGTTGTGGTCCATGTGTCATCCCCCGTGCAGCTGCCCACGCTGCTCCCATCAGACTCAGAAACAGTCTCAGCTGTGGGTTCCCTCCCTCTATTTCTTGGCTGTCATCATCCAGGCTTTGATTTTTGCTTACTTCTTGCTTGCTTTATGAGGCAAGCTGCAGCTTAGCTCTTCACCTTTTCTGACCACAAGAGCTGGTCCTACTCTTAAGGCTCAGTAGACCCTCAAGAAGAAGGGCATTTCACAGTGGAGGTGTCTTTGGCTTAGTCACTTAACATTTTTTTCTGTAAGTTTGCTACCTTTTTTCAATACATCTAATCAAAAAGCAGATCATCTTCTGTAATTGTATGTTGATTCTATCACCTATAATATTATTTTCTCCTTTTTTTTTTTTTGGTACCAGGGATTGAACTCAGGTCCTTGTGCTTGCGAGGCAGGCAGCGGAACCACTGAGCTAAATCCCCGGCCCCTTATTTTCTCCATTTAATCAGTAAGCAATTTAATGATAAAATAGTCATTTTATCATATTTGCATAAGTACTTCCTATCTTTGGAACATCTGGGATCTGATTGTGCTTTTTCATTGTCATAAGTAACACTGTAATGGTCATCTCTGCTGTATACATTTAAGAGTTTCTTAGGATAGATCTCCTGAGGTGACATTAAGAAATCAGTCATGTTTGAACTGGGTGTGGTGGCAGGTCGCTGTGAGTTTGAGGCCAGCTTGCATTGCAAAGAGAGACTGTCTCAAATAAAACCAAAGAAAAAGGAAAGAAAGAAAAAGAAATTAGCCACTTTTATGGCCAATTTATTTTAATGACAACTAATTCCCAGCAGTAGATATCATCATCTGCCATATATACGTGCTTTAATTTTACCTGGCTTTTCCCTGTCCAGTATTGGGGTATTAACTTTTAGTTTTTTAATGAACAAACCATCTTTTTTTGATTGTTTTGGGGGTTTTTATTTGTTTTTGAGACAGGGTTTCACTGTGTAGTTGACACTGACCTGGAGCTCACTATGTAGTCCAGGCTGGTCTCAAACTCACAGTAATCCTCCTGCCTCAGCCTCCCAAGTTCTGGGATTACAGGCGTGCGCCACCACACCTGCCCAAACCATCTTATTTACAACATTTAGAAAAAGATGGTTTGTCATTAAGCTTAATAAAGTTGTTTCCTTTCAAATTTTATAAAATTTGTTTCTTTTTTGTAAGAGTTTTGTTTCTAGTCTTAACTGAAAAGAAATCTCATTCATACACTGCTGGGTTTGAAATGTGTTTTGAGTATAAGTTTGTAATCACCCTTTGGGAGCTCTGCATTAAATAAGCTTTCCAGTGAAAGAGCTTGGGAGTTGATTATAGTTACTATATTTTCTAATTGTTTTGATTCATTATATCATAGAGATTCCTGATTTTTAAACATAAGGATATTAAGCATTTGTTTTAGAATGCACAGTGTCAAACCAAACAGACCTGTTGATATTGAACATAAGCTCTTTTGCTCAGATGAGTTTTGTGATCTGATATAAAACACTTTACAAATAAATTTCTTGCCTTTAATATCACTAGGAGGTGTACTTCCTGCAAGAAGTGTGGACTGAGCACTCGAGGCCACTGATCTTAACTTGTGCCTTTTCTAGATAATCTGTATAAACTAGTAAATCATATTTTTAGAGATCATCAGAAGAGTTAATGCTAAGGAAGCTAACAAGATAGGCTTTGGAAAGTTAGATCAGGACTCAGTGATTCATGCTGCTAATCCATTTCTAGTCAGTTGTGCCGTCTCCCTTTTGTTTTGCTAATTTCTTTGTCAAGAGTACCTTAATTAAAATTTTTCTTTTCTTCTCAAAGAATATTCCAGATTTCTAGAGAAAATGCAAAATGTTACTAACTCTGATCTTAGTGGACCTTTAAAAATTACGGTACTAGGAGAGGAATTATAGCTCCCCTGTGTGAAGCTTAGGGCCTAAAATGTAGCCTACTGGAAAGGAATGTGTGCTCCAGATATAAAGAGACCAAGACGAATGTGTCCTAAAACTGTAATACATGGTTATAACTGTATATATACTCCTAAATAATGACTGTAAGAAAGAAAGATTTTTTTTTTTTTTTTGGTACCGGGGATCGAACTCGGGTCCTTGCGCTTGCAAGGCAGGTGGCGGCACCACTGAGCTAAATCCCCGGCCCTGTAAGAAAGATTTTGTTGTTCATGGCTTTCAAACAGTTATTTAGTGTTTTGTGTAAGTTAAGTTTTTTGCTTCTGAGTGGTAGTGTCTTATGTTGTAGTGGTATCTTATGTAGGAACTCCGGATGAATGCCTTGAGCTGTTATGAAAATAGTCCTAAACCAAGAGGTGAGATCCCTGTCAGGGTTCTGCCACTTGGCTGGGTGTGGCCTCCTTGGGCATGTGTTTCCTCCTCTATAAAACGGGGTGGAGGGAGTAGTTGGTCTTCAGGGCCTCCTGTATTTCATTGTTTGACCATAATTCTGTGAGTAAATTTGAGATACGGAGATGACATGACTGATGTTTTTCCTGTCCTCAGGACCCTGTTCCCAGTGGGTTTTCTGCAGGAGAAGTTCTGATTCCTTTAGCTGACGAGTACGATCCTATGTTTCCTAATGACTACGAGAAAGTGGTGAAACGCCAAAGAGAAGAGCGACAGAGACAGCGGGAGCTGGAGAGGCAGAAGGAGATAGAAGAGAGGGAAAAGTAAGGCTGCGTCTGTGTTGGAGGGCGTTTTGTAGTTGGGGTGTTCACTGACACACTGTGTTTATCAGGGTGCTGTCCTCAGTGCTGCTACCTGTAGGGCTCCGTGCCTTAGGGTTGATCTGAGTGCTCAACAGAAAGGATAGAGTTGTGTATAAGAATTTATCGTGTGGCGTCTCACCATGACAATAACTTGAGCAAATTACTTTATAGACTCTAAAAAGCTTAAAGTATAAATTTAGGGTGAGTTTAAAAAAAAAAAAACCTTAGAAATTTGATGTTGATGGGTTTTTTCCTGTTATGACTGCTAACGTCACAACTACTTAAAATATTTAAATGTTACTCTTTACTGTTTTGACCTACGGGGAATTTTCTTCATGTATTTTTCTGTATGTTTTTTGAACAGTATGGTTAATAGGATTTATTTATATTTCTTTTAAAAATACTTAATGTTAAAGAGTTAATAAGTAGCTGGGTGTGGTGGTGCACGCCTGTAATCCCAGTACCTGGGAAGCTGAGGCAAGAGAATCGCTGTGAGTCCGAGACCAGCCTGGGCTCCATAGTGAGTTCCAGATCGGTCTCAACTACATAGTGAGACCCTGTCTCAAAAAACCAAAAAAAAAAAAAAAAAAAAGAGTTAATAAGCATTAAATATACCGTTTCCCCCTTGTTAAATCATTTCATAAGTGTGTATCCTGGAGAATTGAAGTTAAATATGAAGAAAACTTTTCTCTTGTTAAGTTATACTTTGTTCTCATTAAATTTATTGTTTATCTTTTGAGGTTTTTCTCACTTTTCGTACTTTTTCTGTTTAGTCTTCCAAGCATTTGTGTCTACCCCCACTAAACACACAAACGAATAATGTATTGTGAAAAAAGATTTGTGTATTTTCTAGCCAAGAGGAAATCAACATAGTGTCTCAGTTTCTTACCTCTAAATTAATTCATCTCTGATGAATATTCATTTCCTTGTTATTACAGGAGGCGTAAAGACAGACATGAAGCTAGTGGGTTTTCAAGGCGACCAGATCCGGATTCTGATGAAGATGAAGATTATGAGCGGGAGAGGAGAAAAAGAAGTAAGGCCTGAACATAAATACTATGTTTTAAGCATGGCACAAGCCACCACGTGCTTTTTGTATTCAATTTGATGAATAGTTCATTTGACATTGATTGGGGTCATTTTTTTCTCAGAACTCTCAGTAGTCCACATTTGCATAACGGCTTCAGTTTATATTTTCCAATATTTTCTGCTTTGAGCTTCACGGACACATTTCTTGAATACTTGGAAAATAGCATAAAATATGTTTGCACATGTTCCGTTACCTACAGCACGGCCATACTTGCTCCTTGTTCTGAGTCTAGTTGCGTCTGTGCTCAGTGCTGCTTAGTTTTTCCCAGAGCCTATTACAGGCGCCGTGTATGTCTTGGAACATAAAGGGCCATTGCTGCTGTGCTGCTGCGGACAGATCGGTGCTCTTCTTTTCATCTGGTTAGTAGCACATTTCCACTAATCACTCGAATTTTGTGTATTGAACTTAACTGCACTTGATTCACTCTGCACATCAAGCCCTCTATGTCTAAGTCACAAGATTTTTTTTTTGTTGTTTTTGGTACTGGGGATTTCAGGACCCTGGGATTTCGAGGCAAGTAGTGGTACCACTGAGCTAAATCCCCAGCCCCTAAATGACAAGATTTTTAAAGGTAATTGTAAGAAGTATTTCTAAAGAAACATACGAAGGTTTTGTTCAGGTTCATCTTTCTCCTTGTGTCATCTAGACCTGTGTATTATGATTCATCTATATTGTCTTTAATTTACATTTTTTAATTTCATTGGTGATAGAAGCATAGCATGTATCTTAGGGCCTATACCTAATGAAGAAATTATTATTATATCTTCACTTACGTTGTCCGTCCAATTGCCAGATAACAAATAGGAAAGATTTTTCTTAGCGTTTGGTTTTTATTCACATTCTCCATCCTGGAAACTTGAGCAGGAACAGTGACAACTCCTAATAGATTCTTCAGGAGCCTGGACTCATACTTCCAGATAAGCGTTTAGTTTAGTGGTTAGCACCCTGGCCAAAGAGTGCTGTGTGGTGGGAAATAGCTTTGGCATCACAGGGAACTGGGCTTATGCACTTCTGCCCAATTCACTGTAATCATTTTCTCACATGTAAAGTGGGAAGAGTAGTGCCCACTACACAGGTTTATGGTGAGGTCCGTAATGTTCAAGTGCCTGGTGGGTAACACATTCTGAGTAAATTGTTACTCTTTTTTAAGTAGTTAATACTTTTTCATATTGTGTGCTTTTGCTTTAAAATTCATTTGATAGAGCTGGGCGTGGTGGCGCACACCTATAAGCCCAGCGCTTGGGAGGCTGAGGCAGGAGGATCACTGTGAATTCAAAACCAGCCTGGGCTACATAGTGAGTTCCAGTTCAGTCTCAACTACATCGTGAGACCCTGTCTCAAAGAACCAAAAGAAAAATAATTCATTTGATAACTGCATTCTAAAGATACTTGAATGACTTCTATGGAAAAAAAAATTTTTTTTTGTCTCTGCATATTACCAGTTTTCTGCATTTTTAATTCTAGTTATAGCTATTTAATTGTTCAGTTGTTAGTAGGACTTTTCCATTTTTCTCTTTTCTGGGAGCATGAAGTTGTGATGATACAATCGATGGCATATGGGCTGGGGATTTAGCTCAGTGGTTCCACCACCTGTCTCAACAGCGCAAGGACCTGAGTTTGATCCCCGGTACCAAAAAAAAGATGGCATGTGTTGTGGACTCTGGCTCCTGAAACCATTTTCCTCCTTTAATTACTGCTTATGTTTTTTACAGGTATGGGGGGAGCTGCTATTGCACCACCTACTTCTCTTGTAGAAAAAGACAAAGAGTGTAAGTAGATCCCTTTTGTTCTGATGCTGGGGGCAGGGGAAAGATACTGGAGTACTTAGGAATTGAATGCAGGGACAATGTACCACCGAGCTATTTATTCCCTAGTCTGTTTTATTTTGAGACATATTCTCTCCAAGTTGCCCAAGCTAACCTTGAATTTAGGATCCTCCTGCCTCTGAATGTCTAGGATTTCAGGTGTACGCCATCACACCCAAGTCTGATACAAATTTCTAGTCCAGTTGTGAGGGATCTAAGTTTGGATTCCTAGCTTTTTTTTTGAGTTTAGAGTGAAATAGCCTGTAAAGTTGCCTTAACAGTACATTTTGTTTTTTGTTTTTCCAAGAATTCCTGTTTCTTTTTTCTTTTTTTTTTTTAATTGAGTTTATTGGTACATTCTAGGTATACAGTACAGTTACATTCATTATTGATATCTTGTACCTTTACATGACAGGTCTTGGTTCTCATTTTTCCCCTTGTCCCTCCCCTCCCTTCAACCCCTCCTCCCCTACCCATTTATAAACACTTTATTTCCATCTTTTTATTTTCTCACATTTTTTTCTTTTCCCTTATTACCTTTCCCGTTTCTTGTTTCATTTGGAATTAAAGCAAATGTTGATCCATTTATAGCTTTCTTACTAGGGGATTTAGAGCCTGTTGTATTCATGATCTTCCACAAGGGGGCAGTACCTTCTTGGATTCTTTTTTTTTTCTCATTTTTGTTGCGGAACAGGTGTGTATTCACTTAAGTACCGTGCCAAAATATGACCCATCTAGTGATGCTTTTCCCACTGAGCTGTCCTTGAATTTGGAGGTTGGGAATGGGCTTTGATATATCGTCTTCTACATACATCTGTTCTCATTCTCTGGATTGCGCAGTACCTAAGCTAACATAAAATATCATTCATAGTATTCTTTAATACCCGTTTCACTATTTGTTTTCTTTTTCCCCATCTTAACCATTTTATTTAGTTTTTAAAATCGTATTAGTTCATGTTTGCAGTAACGGTTACATTCATTTTGAGAAGTTGGTACATGTACATAGCTTGTCTTAAATTCTTTTTACATCCCCTTCTGCTCCTTTCTTTCCCAGCTGCATTTTTCTCCTATTCTCCTCCCCACTCCCTGTAGTTTTTTTCTATTTGTTTTATTTTGATCTTTATTTGTAATGGGTTTCTCATGTGAGAAACCATATGATATTTAAGCTTGTGTGTCTGATTTATTTCACTTAACATTACTGTCTCAAGATGCATCCATAGTGTTTTCTTTTTTAAAAGGTAAATTTTAAAATGTTTAACACCTATTATGTGAAATTGAAAAAAACTGACAAGCAAGTCTCTGCAAGTGGGCCCAGGCGTCTGGATAGTTTTAAAGCTTCTTGTTGATGCTGATACAGTTGGAGTTGAAAACCACTGCTCCAGTGTGTGGTTCCTGACCTCACAGACCTTTATGGTCTCTGAGACTAGTGGTATAATAAGTTCAAATCTTAAGACAGGCATACAGTCACTATGGGAATCAGATGAGTTATGTTTCCTTGGGATATACTGAAGATCTTGAGGATTCAAGCAAGAATTACCATTTACGGACTTTAAAAGGTAACATGTCAGTAACATCAAAAGAACATTTGTTGGGGATATGAGCAGTAGGAACAGAGGTAGAAAGTAGTATTCTGTTTTTGGTTTAAAATTAAGTCATGTACAAATTAAAATAGATTTGGTTTTTCTCCTTATGATAAACTAAAAATACAGACTAAATTTATTCAAAATAAGTAATTGATACGAATGCAATTTCAAATATTTCTTTATTATTTTAGTGAATCTACTTTATTTTTCCTCAACAGTACCCCGAGATTTTCCTTATGAAGAGGATTCGAGACCTCGATCACAGTCTTCCAAAGCTGCTATTCCTCCTCCAGTGTATGAGGAACAAGATAGGCCAAGATCTCCAACCGGACCCAGCAACTCCTTCCTTGCTAACATGGGGTAATGATTTCTTGTTTAAGAAAATGTAAAAGTGACTTAAATAGTGTGAAGTATTAGTAGCTCTTTCAATAGACACTGATCATTTGAAAGTGAGGATATTTGAGCTTATAAGAAGGAACATGGTATGTTCACAGTGTCCTGCTCAAGGGTTAGTGTTGGAGTCATACGGAGGGTGTTCTAATGTAACACACCGTTTTTGCAAATCTGCCTATTAATACAAATTTTGGCTGATTTAGCTGTTAAACATTATTTCTCTGGTAGGAACAGTTTCTGATCATAATTTACACTTAGCATTTCCAGTTAAAGTAGCTCATTTGTATTAGAGGTGAATAAGACTGGGTTATCTAGAAAGGGTCAGTAACCTAAGTCATTTACCTTAAGGTCATAGTTCTGTACTTTTAATTTAAGAAGTTGATCTGGGTAGGGGATACAGCTCAGTGGTAGAGCAATTGCCTAGCACATGTGAGGCCCTGGGTTCAAGCCCCAGGACTGCAAAACAAAATGAAAACCCCTGGTCATTGTAACTATAATTAGACATTTGTTTGCTGTTCATAAAAGTCATTTTAAAGGTTCCTGTGCAGGTGGAACTCCAGTGTTCTGTTTTAAACCCTGCTGGATTTGGCATGCATTTTGGTTAAAAGAATATTTTTTATTGTTTACTTTCATGTTGCGAAGAGGCCATCAAATAAAGGGATGTCACACTAAAGTCGTGTTCTTGTGTTAACAGGATGCTGCCCTAGTAGAAATGCTGCTAGTGAGATAGTCCAGCATGGTCGCACTGAGCTGCCTCACCTGTTTACATCCACTTTGCTTCTCAGCCTCTGGGAGGTGGCTAGTCAGATGTGCAGTAGATGCCTGGGGGCTGAGCACATGGGGAAACATTGTGAGTTTCCGACTCACTTGTCCATCTCCTAAACTTGCTCAGTTTTATGTGGTAGCTACTAGCCATAGGTCACTATCAAATTAGTTTGAAATTTAAACTTCAGTTCCTTAGTCATACTAGCCTTATTTCAAGTGTTTGGTAACCACATATAACTAATGGCAGCTGTATTTGACAGTGCAGATAACGGAATATTTCCATTACTACTACAAATTCAGCTGGGCGTGTGGCTCGCACCTGTAATCCCAGCACTTGGGAAGCTGGGGCAGGAGGATCACCACGAGTTAGAGGCCAGCCTGGGCTACATGGTTTAAGAGAGACTCTTGTCTCCAAAACAAAGTTTTATTTAACAGTGCTTCCTAGAATGTATACTAGAAGGTTGGGTTTTTATTTTTGTTTTCCTCTACTTATAATAGAAATTGACTTAATTCCTGTTAAAACAAAGGTTAGATCTTTAATTTATGTTTAAGAAAGATGCAGTGTAGGGCCGGGGCTGGGGATTTAGCCCAGCGGTTTTGCCGCCTGCCTTGCAAGCTCAAGGTCCCAACTTCAGTCCCCGGTACCAAAAAAGAAAAAAAAAAGTGTAATGTGGCACTGTGTATAGTTCAGCCATTTTTAGTCACTTTTTTCCTCCTTAGAATAGCTTGTTCAAAAGACAATCTAAAAAGAATTAAGTACATGAAATACCTAGGTGCAACTCTAGTGGAAGCAGGGTTTCATGGTTCAAGATAAGCAGCAGTGTTCGCAGGATAGCCCTCTTAAGACACAGTAGGCTCCTCAGAGTACAAAGTGAAAGCTGTTTTGCTGTCACAGGAAGAGCACTGGACTAAGCATCAGGAATTGTGACTCTAAGGCTGGGGATTTAGCTCAGTGGCAATGTGCCTGCCTCAAAAGTGCAAGGTCCTGAGTTTGATCCCCGGTACAAAAGAAAATCGAATTGTGATTCTGGTTTTTAGTATGTGTGCTGCTGAAGTGAGCACATGGGTTCTAATTTTATTCTGCCATTAACATATATAGAAATAATTTCTAAATGTGTTGCTTTACAGTTATCTTCATTATATAGAGAGTGGTGGTGCACAACAGTAATCCCAGCACTTGTGCGGCTGAGGCAGGAAGATTGCCACGAGTTTGAGGCCAGCCTCAGCTACATAGTGAGTTCAAGGCCAGCCTGAACTACACAGAGAGACCTTGTCTCCAAAAAAAGAAACAGTCATCTTCATTATCTTAATTTCATACATATTTTTGGACAGGCCACTGTTTTAAGTAATGCCAGTCATGAGCCATGTGGTAGTCCAAATCCAGAGCACAAAAGAAGTCTTATTTTCTCAGGAGTACTGGAAGGATTTTATCAGAGAAACGAGCATTCCCTTCTGAGATAATCTCAGGGTATTCTGGTGTAATCATTAATTGTTTATATTTTTCTCATCCTGAACGTCACCACACCTTCCATCTAAAGGCTCACTGTTTATTGTACATGACCTCGCTATACTCTCTCTCCAGAGGGAGATTGCTGTGATGTAAAATCCAACTTAGATTATAATTGTTGTAACAACTTTTCTACTGTCCTCCTCCTTCTAGTGGCACAGTAGCACATAAGATCATGCAGAAGTACGGCTTCCGGGAAGGCCAGGGTCTGGGGAAGCATGAGCAGGGGCTGAGCACCGCACTATCCGTGGAGAAGACCAGCAAACGAGGGGGCAAGATCATTGTAGGTGATGCCACAGAGAAGGGTGAATCTCAAGGTAAGTTCACGGGGAAGCAGAGCTTCAATACAGAAAGGCAGGCCCTCCCCTAGCGGCGTACTGTAATTCTCCCATTGTGGTGCACTTCTGCTTCTGTTTTGTGGAGTGGAGAAGCCTGAGGGTCATCTTTATTTTTCTAGAACAGAGAAGTGAAGGCCCTCAGGAGAGATAAAAAATGAGACTGCCAGAAAATGAATAGTCCTTAGCAAAATTTGTCATACTTACTTTGACTTAGCAAAGAATCTAGTTAACATGATAAACTAATTTGCTTTTATAACATACAGGACATAGCCAAATGCATTGTATCAGTGATTTTATTTGCTATATCTGCAGTAGGTTTTTCTCTGCTTTTTCTTTCCTGCTTGTTCATTATAGTGTTTTCTAATAGATTGCTCTTTGAAATCACATCTTGCTCTGTAGTTTTTTGGTAGATTATATCTACTTGATGTTACATTTTCATTTGATTTTTTTTTTTCTTTTTTTTTTTAGTACCGGGTATTGAACTTGGGTCCTTATGCTTGCAAGGCAGGCGGCAGAACCACTGAGCTAAATCCCCAGCCCTTTCATTTGATTTTCAAGTGGAGAAATTATGTTAACGTCAAGTCAGCTGAATTCCAATTTTAAATTAAGAAATAACTTCTGTGGGCAAACCTATTCATGCCCAGATTAGCAAGCAGCAGTCAGCCTGAATGGTAGTACCCAAAATCATGTTATCTAAATTTATGATATCTGAAGTTGGTGAGCTAGTAGCTAGAGAATTAAATGCTTGCTACTGTGTGCTAGTGGTGATCTTGGACTACTATTTCAAGGTAGAACTCATCAGTAAAGGTTGTCAGCCATGTGTTCTTACCAACCTTTTAGGAAATGAAATGAGGGGGGATAAAAAACTGCATGTAATGGTAGAAGCAAGAAACTCAGAAGATATGAACATCAGTGCAAACTAGAGCTTTTATTGCAGATAATGCAACATTTTTACTCAGTGACTACTTGCATAGATGCATTTAGGTGACTCTAGGATTTAAATGATATAAATTGCTATTGCAGTTAAATTCATCATTGTAGTAGAACTCAGATCTGTTAGCATATTTCATATGGTTTGATACAGATGCATCAAAGAAGTCGGATTCAAATCCATTAACTGAAATACTTAAATGTCCTACTAAAGTGGTCCTGCTGAGGGTAAGTAGCAAAAGAAAATCTGTGTACCTTGATTTTTGTCTCATCCCATTCTACCCTACCTCCATATGCTTTCACCCCTGCTGGCTTAAAAGTGAAAGAAAACTAAAAAGAATACTTTTTGCAAATAATGCCTTTGTATAGGTTCCATAAAAGACTGAACTTTTCATTGCCTAAGTTTCTTTGTTAAATAGGATATTTGAGATTGCAGTTATTAAAATGTTTAAACTTGCTAAACTTCAACTTAGTTTCTACATTTTGGTGCTTGTATAGATGTTGTAACTTTTCACAGCTTAGTGTATAATTAAAGATATGATTGTTTTGATAATTCGGGGGCAGAATTTTTCATTGTGTCATTTAAGACTAAGAACGTGCCATTATGAAAGAATACCTTATAAAAACTTAAATATTTATAAATTATATGTGGTACCTAGTTTTTATTTGTTTTTAGAACATGGTTGGTGCAGGAGAAGTTGATGAAGACTTGGAAATTGAAACCAAGGAAGAATGTGAAAAATACGGCAAAGTTGGCAAATGTGTGATATTTGAAGTAAGAGAGTTTTCTCTTGATGTTTATAAGTTGTAATTGGCAGTTTACAAAACATTTTGTAGAAATGGGGAAGGCATTGCTGTAATTAGGACTGTCACACTGTAGAAGATGACAAATATTGGTTATATTTGTCATATAAAGCCAAGATTTTATTGGGCAAAGAAATAGAAAGTTTCATTTTATGATTGAAGATCAGGATAGCGATTAAAGACCTTGATTGACAAACCTGTGCTCATTGTACTTAGGCATGCCTTTGTTTTCAGTCATTTGGCAAGCATTTATGTTCTGCCACCCATATGTCGCTTGCTGTATGAGAGAGCATTTAGTTTGCAGGAAGCATGTTTTGTGGTCTTGGGGGATATGTTTGTTTGAAGAAACACAAGCACGTGTAAAATAATTAGACCATGTTCGGTTGCTGTATTTGCTAGTATCAGCTATAAGTGGGGGAGTCAAGAAAAAGATTGCATAACAAATAGAGCAGGCTTTGTGAACAGTATCAGATGTGGGCTGAACTTTGATGTGAACTGGTAAGATGTATTGGAAGAAGGGAGGAACAGTATTTAGATTGAGGTAACACGAGATGTGATAAGACGACAAAGATGGAGCGCTTGGCATGTAGGGAGTTAAAAGTGTTGATGTAAGTAGAATAGAGCTGTATTATGGAGGGTGTAGAAAGATGGACAGAGCTGGCCAAAATGTAGACCTCGTATGAAGTTTTTATCCCAAGATTTCTTTCTTCTTTTGTGTTTTGTTTTTTGAGACAGGGTCTCGCTATGTAGTTCAGGTTGGCCTTGAACTCACTAATATTTAGCCCACGCTGGCTTTGAACTTGCAACACTGCCTCAGCCTCCTGAGTACTAGGATTATGTGCATGTGCCACCAGGCTTGGCTTTTACCTAAAAATTCTACTTGCATTTCTGCTTCATCATATTTCTCTTTGTTGACCGTATTATGTGTTTGCATGACAGTTGGCATAGGGCCTCTCCATGAAGTCAAAGACTGTCTTGTGAGCTGGGCGTGGTGGGGCACACCTGTAATTGCAGCATTCGGAAGGCTGGGGCAGGAGGATTATTGTGAGTCTGAGGCTAGCCTGAGCTACTTAGTGAGTTCAGGGCCATCCTGCCCTACAAAGTGAGACCTTGTCTCAAAAACCACCCACGCAAAAACAGACTGCATTAGGTAGCTCCCAGCACCCAACACTGTGCCTTTCTTAAAACATATTCTTTCCTTGGTAATTACCACTTGTCCATATATGATGATAATTAGAATATTTACTATGATACAACTGATTCTTTAAATGATAATTTTATTCCAGATTCCTGGTGCCCCTGATGATGAAGCAGTACGAATATTTTTAGAATTTGAGAGAGTTGAATCAGCAATTAAAGGTAAGTTGCACGGCTAATTATTAAGGAATTTAAAAGGTTGAATTGTGACCTTGATCTTTATGCTGCTATTATTTATATTAAAGTTTATTTAAGTTAATATTTTGGTGCTGTCTTATATTTGAATTAACTAACTTGTCTTTTTGTTTGCCTTTTAGCTGTTGTTGATCTGAATGGGAGGTATTTTGGTGGCCGGGTGGTAAAAGCATGTTTCTACAATTTGGATAAATTCAGGGTTTTGGATTTGGCAGAGCAAGTTTGATTTTAAGAACTAGAGTCATCTCAGACACCCTTAAACGAGCTGCGGACTGAGCAAACACAATGATCCTTAAAAGATCTGTGATCTGAGCAGAGATGGACAAAGCTGGTGAATACTGGGACTGCTGGAGGGACTTCTGATAAATATGTTGACTGATCCTTTTTTTATTTTATGTTTTTTTAATATAGTATAAAAATCCTTTAAAAAATATGTGTGCATCTCTGGTTGTTTTTTTTATTACATCTGAGTTTGTTATTATAATTATTATTGCTGGAATTTCATGATAGTTCTCAGGTGCTTCGTGATACATTTCTTGCACTTAAAAAATCTAGAAAGTTTTGGTACATAGAGTTGGTATTAATTTTAATCTCTGTCTATATCCATCCCCCCAATAGAGCCTGCAAGTTACTAAACTAGCTTCATAAATTCTGTAACAAAGCATCGTTTTGATAGTGAAATATTTGCCAGAGGTGAAAATACCTGCTTTCTCTAACGGTATTTCTTAGTAACTCCAGTCATAGAAGACACACTTTACAACCTGAGCTAAGGTGGAATTACCATGAGCTGTTTGGATGAATCATTTGTTGTTAAGCTAAGTGAGACTGTGGTGTTTATGATGGATTCATGGAGTTTGGGTATAGAAATCATGAATTTAGTATTTGTTTTCAGAAATTCTAGCATGGTCTTTAGGGTAGATCAGAATTTTAAAACCTAGTAGGAATATTATAAATGTGTGCCCAGTCATGTTTTGGGAAGGGGAAATCTTAGGATCAGGATCATACCAACAAAATTTGCATAGGTGTTGACTATTATATGTAATTTAAAAATTTAACAGCTATATCAGCTACTTAAGCTGTACGGCCACTAATATAATTCTGGAATTGCAGGAAATTTCAATGTAGTAGCATGTGTGGCTTAGAAATTTAGCAGGACCACAAAAAAGAAGACAGATAAAGTACTCAGTACTGAGGTTCATTTCCAGGCAAAGAGATTGCTCGAGAAAATATACACACCTTTTTTCTGTTCCTTGCTTTCCCTTACATTGCATGTTACTTTCCTAAAGTGGCAAGTGAAGGATATATGTTGTCTTTCGGGTGGTTGTGACATGAAAGTATATTATGACCCTTGGGGGGAGAAAGAATTGAACAACTTCTTTATATCCATGGACTTGAACATATAAGGAATATCCTGACTTTTTTAAAAGGGTTTTCTTCATATTTGTATTTACCAAATAGAATAGCATTTTATCTTTTGTGGGTTTGGGTTTTTTTTCTGGCAAAATCTTGCTAAGTAGTTCAGGCTTTCCTTGAACTCATCTATGGGAGCCCAGGCTGGCCTCAGCCTCTGAGTGCTGGGATTATAGGCCTGCACAACCACACCTAGCTTTTTTTAATTTGAATAAAACTGAATTAAGACTGGAGTTTTGGAGGCTGAGGATGTAGCTCAGTAATAGAACACTCACCTAACATTCAAGAGGTCCTGGATTTGATACCTAGCACCACCAAAGAGATTTGTGTTAAAGAGTAAAAGCTGGGTGTGCTGGCATATGCCTGTAATCTCAGCACTCAGGAGGCTGAGGCAGGAGGATCATTGTGACTTTGAGGCTAGCCTAGGCTACACTGAGTTCAAGGCCAGCCTGGACTATATAGTAAGACCCTCAAAAAAGTAAAAATTAAAGAATTCCACATGCCACTATTTTTAGGACGTTAAGAGTCAAAAGCCCTGAATTTAGATAATTTTACTTGTGGAATTAGTTTAATGAATATTAATGTGGATACCCCTTTTGAGTTTCCACTTAAGCAAATATACCACACAGAATATTATGTTTATTTGTACAAATTGAAGTGCTTAAAGTAAATTCCAGTCTACCGTTTCATGCTTGCATTTATTATGATGTAGAATAACACTTTGTTTTCATTAGATTGCTTTTGCCGGCATTGTCCTGTTAAACCACTAGAGAAGTGCAAAGGACTCCTAACTCAGGTATCCTCGGTGTTACTGTCTGAATTACCCGCAGCTGCATGAAAACTTTAGTGAATGTTGGATTAATTTCTAAGTCTGCAAGTTAATGCTTGGGAAATTTGAAATTAGTTTTGTATATTAACTAAAATTCAGTATAACTTAAACGTTGCTTAAGCTACAACATAAGTAGCAAGAATCAACGTGGTGGACTTTTGTTATTGATGGCCCATCTGATCTTTTGAAAACCCTTGAATTTGAGGGATTTCTTTCTTTCCCCTTCTACCAAACAGATTAGACACTTGTTTTCCCAGTCTGTCTTGCAGGTCAGGCCAAGAGTGTGGACTCGGAATCTTCCAATCAGACTGGAATTTCAGCTTGGGAGAGCTTTATGAACTGTCCTCACTTTGCTAAGGGTACATTTGATGTTTGTCTAGCCTTGGGTACAGCAGTGGTAGAGACCTGTTACCATGTGGGCGTGGCTGTGATGGCTGCAGTGAGTCTTTGTACAGTAATTTCTTGCTTTACGTAAAATCTCCAAGTTTGACCCTGGCCTATCTGTTCTTTTACCTAGTAGTGGGATTGTTGTTACTGTATTGGTTTTTGTTGTGTGGTAAATTTCTGTTTAATCAAAAGTGAGTTCTTTCATATGCATTCAAAAACCCTGACAGTAATACTTGGAATTGCAAATGACAAATTCTGAAAGATAAGGAGATAGGAGCTGATTAGCAAGGATTCCTCCCCTCTAGGCTGAAAAATTTGGTGAATGTAGTAAAATACTCACCTGAACTGTCAGTGTGCTGTGCAGTACAGACAAGAACGTACTGGTGTTCAGGGACGCAGTAGGAAAACGGATGCTGGCATGTGTTGGTCACTCGGGCAGCCGCAGTAGTGAAGGTTCAGGGTTCTACAGCTCACTGACCAGTTGCCTCATATGAAAAGGAAAGTGAAACTCATGCCTACTTAGGACTGTGAGGAGAACTAAAGGCATAGGTTATTGTAGTCCATTCAGGCAGCTATAAAGTACCAAGTGTAGGAAGCTTTTAAACAACAGGCAGTTTCTCACAGTTCTAGAAGATTAAAGTCCTCAGGGCACTAGCAGATTCTGTATCTGATGGGCCTGTCTGGGTCATAGATGGCTACCTTCTCCCTACGCTTGTAATTCTTCGCATTTACTTCTCATATTCTGTATTTGGTCCTGGGATCTTCCATATGATTTTTTAAAAAGAATTTACGTACATTAAGGTTTATTCTGTGTCCTGAAAGACTTTATAGGATTTGCCAAATGATGTTTTGTATTCGTCATTACAGTATAATACAGAATAGATTCATTGCCCTCTCCCCCAACAAAAAACAAAACCAAACAAAAGAAAGCTACTTCATCTGCCTGTTTAAATCCCACCTCTGTTCCTGGCAGTTCACCAGCCATAGTTTTCCTTTTCCCTGAATGTGATAAATTGGAATCATAAGATATGCAGCTTTTTTTAGACTGGCTCCTTTCACTTAGCATGTTCATTTAAGGTTCACCCTTATCTTTCTGTAGCTAGATAGCTCATTTTGTTTATCAGTCAGTATAATAATATAGTACATTCCATTGTATGGATGTGCCCTAAACATTTTGATTACTTCTGCTTCTTAGTTATGAATAAAGCTGCTATAAATATTTGCTATGGCTTGTGTTTAGATGTCCCCCAAAGCCTCATAGGGTCCTAGGTGGGGCTTTTTCAGAGGTGGCTGGATGTAGAGTGTGTGATGCTGGGATTGATTCATGGTGCAGTGCTCGGATCAAGGACACTAGGATTAAGGGTGTGAGCACTACCTGCTCTAAGTAGCCCAGGTAAGATAAGGGATAGGGCCAGGGGATTTAGCTCAGTGGTTCCGCTGCCTGCCTCACAAGTGCAAGGACCTGAGTTTGATTGCTAGTACCAAAAAAAAAAAAGTATAAGGGAGAAGGAACTGTAGGTCTTTTGCTTGTTTTGCTACCTTCTGCCATGCCATTAACTCTTTCTCCTCTGCAGTGTCCCTCTGCCATGCCACCCTGCCTTGAAACCAGCCGATTATGGACTGAAACCTCTATAAACTGAGCTAAATAAACCTTTCTCCTTTAACTTTGGGTGTTGGGTATTTTATTTCAGCAACAAGAAAAGTAAACATTCATGTACAGGTTTTTTGTGTTCTTTTTTTTTTTATTTTTTAGTGGACGTACGTTTTCACTTTAGGTAAATATTAGGAGTGTAATTGCTCAACTTCACATTCAGATTAATCTCCCACATTTTCAAATTCTCCCTGTATTGGCATACAGATATACTCAAATCTCTCCCATTTTTAGGGGGGAAAAGGTGAAACCCTTGAATTGTTATTCTGCTACTCCTTAGTCCCTGTGTTTCTTTCCACACTACAGCTTCTTAAAGAATCACCTATCCCTCTCCTTCCTCATTATCTCTTCCATTGTATTTGATTATAATTTAGACCTCTACTTTCACTAGGCCTCCTAAGACACTCAGTTAAATGGAACCCATATCTGATGGAATCTGTTCAGTTAAAAACTTGACCTTTAATGGCATTTGGCCCTGTTAGCCATTACCTTCCTGAGGACTGACCTCTGTTCCTGATAGCATTTGCTGTTATTACTATTCACCCTCTTCCTAGGGGACCTCATCTACCCTCCTGGCCTTTAAATTTCTTCTGTGAATAACACATGCATACTAAATCTCACCTTCTGTTAAAAAGCTTCAGATCTTTACCCAGCTGCCTTTTAGACCAGCTGGTTGTTCCTTCTCACCTCAAACATGTCCCAAACTTAATTATTTTCAGATCTCCTTGCAAAATTCTTTAACTTGGAAAAAAAGCATCTATTCGGTCAACTAAGGAATCTAGGGCTCTTCCTAGATCCCTCCTTTTTCCTTTTATCCCAGTCAATCTGTCAGTGAGATCTTTTGGCTGTATTTGTTTTCCATCTTTCACGTTAACCCAGTAGAGTCCTTTTGTTTCAGGTACACCCCATCTCTACCTGGCCCATGGGTTTCACTTAGTCTCCCTACTCTTAACTTTGCTCACCTCCAGTCTGCCAAAGCAGTGCCTCAGCTTTTCAGTCTATATATAAAGAATCTTGGGGCCAGGGATGTAGCCCGGTGGTTCTGCTGCCTGCCTTCCAAACACAAGGACCTGAGTTCGATCCCTGGTACCAAAGAAAAAAAAAAATCTTGTCCTCCAGT